ACTGATTGAAGGAAAGACAGACGGACAGACAGACAGACAGACAGACAGACAGACAGACAGACAGATGGACGGAATGCAAACCTAAAGTCCCCTTCCACTTCGTCGGTAGGGGACTAAAATAAAGTACAGTTGAAGGTAAACTACTTTTATAGTTACAAGAAGACACAGTGCATGTATATCATATTTTTTGCATGCGCTAGGACTACATTATATATGTTCCGTGAATACCTTCATATGCATTTGGTGTCGCAAAATGGATAAAGACGACAATGAAAGTATATTCTTAGTGCTACCTTCTTTTTGAAAAGAAGAAAGCGATGTCGAATATGGTGATTGTGTTGTTTCAAACTTCGGATAAAACACAAATCTGCGGACAACGAGGAGGATTTAGTTATAGCAGCTTAAACTGGCAAGTTTTATATATATTCTAAAAGTTAGTCCTTTCCTATTACTTCCTTATTCCTTCTGGTTTTTTATTTTTCTAATTATGCGAATGAGACAAAACAAAATCAAAAACTCACAAAGCTTGACGACAGGTTCACCTTGCAGAAAAAGGTTCAACCATATCGAGTGCACAGTAGTCTATTTAGTTTGAGATCATCCACAGTTTTTGGCGGGGTTCGTGTTGTTCAGTCCTTAGTTTTCTATGTTGTGTTTTGTGTACTGTTGTTTGTTTTGTTTTTAGCCTTGGCGTTGTGAGTTTGATTGTCCCTTTGGTATCCTTCGCCTCTTTCGTTCCTTTTTTTGTTCTTCTGAATTTCCCCCTCTTATATTATATCAATGAATTTCATGACAATTATGATCCAAATATTATACCTTTTATTTATTAAAATAAATTTATATATCTATACATGTAATATCGCAATGAAATGTCCAGAGATCATGAAATTGATCAGACAAATTCACCTACTAAACTTGAAAAAAAATTCTATTCATAAATTTCCGTATGACAAAGGCCCCTGCAAGAGACAGTTAGTCTTTACCCTAAACCGGAACCACCTGAATACCCTTCCCCCTTTGTTTTTTTGCTAATGCTTAATAATGGTTTTAAATAATGGTTTTAAATCAATTTTACTTTTGAGATCTTAACAAAATGAAGTAAAGTGTTTGAAACTATTCATTAACAGATAAATAAATTAAAAAGAAACAAATGTAATTCGTATTTTGACATTATATATGGTAAAAATATCTTTATAAATAACCCCCCCCCCCCCCCTTTTCAATCAATTCAATGCAGGAAAGGGTTTTATGTTCAAATTCATATTACACAATTTTATTAGTTATTTTTGGATTTGAACTAGCTGTCAGCAACTGTGAGTACTCTCAAATTTGTACTTTGTGTCTGCCAGGTCCAGTCTATGTGATTGTTAGATGCTTTTCTGCTTTGTATCGGTCTGATGAGTTACGCCCTTTTCAACTTATTTTCATAGTTTGTCCTTATGCTGTGCTGTTACACCAAAGTCCAAGGTTAGGGGAGGGTTGAGCGCTCACAAACATTATTAACCCTGCCTCATTCGTTATGTGCCTGTCCCAAGTCAGGAGCCTGTAGTTCAGTGGTTGTTGTTAGTTCATGTCAGTCATATTTGTTTTTCGTAAATTGTTTTGTTATAGATTAGGCTGTTAGTTTTCTCAATTGAATTGTTTCATTTTTCTCATGTCGGGGCCTTTTATAACCAGACTATATGGTATGGGTTGTTCTCGTTGCTGAAGACAGTACGATGGCCTATAATTGCTTACATCCACTTTACTTGAACTTTGGTGGATAACTGTCTCATTGGCAATCATACCACATCTCCTTTGTTTTATAGATGACTAAATCTAGCACCTACGTTAATTCTAATTTCATAAGACTACATCTGTTTCTAAAATAAACGATCACTACGCACAAAGTGCGAATCGGACACACGATTGATTTCTTTAACCTGCTGTATAGTGTTTCTTTTTTTCTGTTTCATACATTCATCATCGTTTTTTTTTAAACAGAAAACTTGCAAATCAACGCCCACATCTGAAAATCATAAAAACTGTTGTAGGCCCCTAGTTCATGAAGCCAGTTTTCGATTTGCACTTTGTACACTGGGTGAAGTTTAAGTTGATCATCAAATTATGGATTAAGTTATTTTGTCCAAGCAACAATCTGTGTCTTGCACATCAACACTGGGTAAAACATCTACTTCGAATGAACGATTTCTTCTAATTATGATAAAAATCTTGTGCAAAAAGAAATAAAAAAAAGCACTAAAAACAAAACTTACGAGTATTGTCAACCAAATTTGTGCTAAAGGAGACAGCCAAAAACATGAGAAAAATGGCTGTGAAATAAGAATTGACTCTGGCAGTGTTAAAATCAATTTCGAAGGTTTTTTTCTCAAGAAACTGTCTTGACAAGTGACGAAATTATTGTATTGAAAGGTGTCTGGCCTTTATAAAGAAAGTTTTTGAGAATTTGTCATTTATTATTTCGTTGTAAATTATTTTTTTCTAATGAAAGAAAAAAGAATCAATTATGCATCCTGACAGCTGTCCAATATTTTTAAGAAAGATAAGGGTTGTTATTTAAAACATTGGACAGTTAATGGTAACATAATGGTTTCTTACAGGTGAATGATAGTCCAATCATTGATATAAATCACGGGTGGAACAATAGAATGACGTCATAACAATGTTTTAATAGAGAGGTAGAAACTGCATAGACAAAAAATGATGTGAATACGAGATCTCAAAAAATGCAATTTGTCTGAACCCACTGGATATTTTCTTATAGGAGTTATTGCCCTTAAATTACGTAATGAATAAATATTTTATTTAAAATAAAAAATAAATATGACAACAAGGTTCCAGATGAGGTACTTACAAAGTCACTCGCTCTCATCCCATATGGAATTCACTGACCCCATATATATCGTATTAGGTCACTAGCACACTTATATGTAACTAATAATATTTCTTCTTCATAATAATATTTATTTTTTGTTTTGGTTTTTGAGATATCAAAAAAGAAAAACTAAAGCACCCTTTTGTTTTTTGTTTTAAGATATCAAAAACAAATAAATGTGCTTCGCCGAGCGCAGGTGGATATGACCGCAGAGGTCCAACCCTGAACAGTTGGGGCAAAAATGGACACAATATTCAAGCTTGATACAGGTCTGAATGGACACAATATTCAAGTTTGATACAGGTCTGAATGGACACAATTTTCAAGCTTGATACAGGTCTGAATTTGGAGTGTAATTAAATATTCATGATATTTGACAAATTATAGGTTTCTGAGACAGAATAAATGTAGTCAAAAAACTTGAAATTGATTATATGATTTGAATTTATATTCAATTGAAGATTTCTTGCTGTTGTGCAATACACTGTGCTGTTGCGCAATACTAAGTAAATTTGTTATCAGACTATATACAAAGAATTAGCAAAATAAATTGTGCTAAGATAATTTCTTAAATCTTGAGGAAAAAAATTGCCCCCCCCCCAAAACAATTTTTTTTTACACCCCCCCCCCCCCCCTTCCAAAAAAAACAATATTTGAAGAAATTTTCTTTTGGTAAAATGTGGTACAATTCAAGAGACATCCATACACTTAAACACAAGTTATTGTCCTGAAACTAGAAAAATACTTGTTTTGGGCCCCCTTTTGGCCCCTAATTCCAGAACGGTTGGGATCATCACCCCAAAAACAATCCCTATCTTCCTTTTGTGGTATTGAAACTTTTGGTTAAATTTCATAGAGATCCATACACTCAAACTAAGGTTATTGTCCGGAAACGAAATGTCTTCGGACGACGACGACCAAATAATAGCAATATACGAAATCAATTTTTTTGCGGTTGTAAAAAAAAGGAAAACAATTTGGTTAAAGTTTCTATCTATCTAGTATAGTTTCTGAGTTAATAGGCAAAATCGCAAAATTAGGTGAAAATAATACATCCTATACTGACATGACAGAGTCTACTGATGATTTCGGCAATTTGACTTTTGGTATATCTTATCTTTATGATTCTTTTTTCTATTTAGATTTGATATCATCTATCTATTATAGTTTTCAAGATGATTAGTAAGAATGCCAAAAAAAAGAGAGGATAAAATCATTTAAAAAGGGAAATGACGCAATTAAGTAGTCAACTGATGATTTCAGCCGATTTGATTTTTTTGAAGATCTTGTCTTGTTGATAATTCTTCTATTTAAAATTTCTCTCTATCTGTTATAGTTTTCAAGATAAAAGGTAACAATGTAAACAAATGGTAAAATTCTTCATTTAAGGGCAATAACTTCAATGAGAAGTCGTCCGACAGTTTTGATGTAAATGCAAAGTAGGCATCTCAACACTCTAGGCATTTATGCCCATTTCTGGTTTTCTCTATCGATAGTGGTTTTCAAGATAATAGACATAACTTTCATTTTGCTCCTATGTTCAATTTTTAGCAATGTCGGTTGACTTTGTGATCATCAGACATATTCTACACTAGATACCCAGTGAAGAGTGTGGTAAAGTTTGGTTGCAATTGGCCAGTAGTTTCAGAGGAGAAGATTTCTGTCAAAAGTTAATGGACATGGACCAACCAGGGACACCAAGTGATCGGAATAGCTCATTTGAGCTTTGGGTCAGTTGAACATGAAAGAGGCAAAAGATAACAAGTAACAAAAAAGTCAACAAAACACTTCATAGAAAATTAAGGACTTCGCAAAACCAGCCTACCAGAAACTTGAGGTGATCTCATGTGCTCCGAAAGGATAAGCAGATCATGCTTCGCTTGAAGCACCGGTCATGGGTTGCTCATGAAAATTAAAATTTGATGACAAGTCTCGTTCAGGGATTTCACAATTGAGGAAAAGAGGACAAAAAGAAATTGAGCCATTATACTTTTAATGATTTTTGAAGCTAATTTTCTTAAATTTCAAATAATGATAAATTATAATTTCTGTTAAGGATTTCGTTATCTTAGTATGTAGTCATGCATTGTAACTAAACTATGATCCCTTCTTAATATATATTTACCTTAGATGTATCACCAAACCAGTCGTCTTTATATCTATGCTTTCTTTTGTGTTCACTACAATGAAATTCTTTTCCATCTTCCACTTTGCCAAAATCTTTGAAGCCATACTCGCAAGTATAACTAGTTAAACTGCATTTCCATTTAATTTCAAAAGACACAGTTGTCATTCTATTTCTAGTGTTGATGATTCTATCTATTTCACCTTTAATAAAGCAGAAAATGTCTTCATACTGACAGGGTATTTCTTTATCCCATTGCCAAATTTGAAGCTCTATCATACTACCGCACTTAACTAGGAGTAATTTTGTACAGTCACATTCAGATACATCAAATACACAACAATCTTTAAAGAGTCCTTCCTGCTGTTGAGCAAATGCTACTGTATATTTTCGTAGACATGAGACAATGAGGTGGCTAATAAGATAAGGTGGCAGAAAGTTGAAAATGAAGCATAAGCATGTAGATTTATATTCATCTTCTACCTCAAACAATTTGTCCACTTCTTCAATCTTATTCACTTGCATCATACATGGAATGTAGAAAAAAACATCTTTGTCTGTAGGATCTCTGTTCGTCTGATCCACAGGATTTATTATAATGTCAAACTTTTCCATTACAGCAATTAAATGGCTTTGATGATCCTTAATATAAGCTTGCTGTAAATTAAATATTGCTTGCATCAAATTCGATTTTATCTTTCAGTTTCTTTTACTTCTTTCCACTCGATGAACCAGGGTAATTTTTCCTGAAACTTTGTGGCAGTTACTATGCATTTGAAAGCGTCTGCCAGCCATTGTGGGTCCAGTATGATGTACTCTGGGATATCATTAAAATACAACAAGTTACCAATTTCATTTTGATATCTTAGAAAAAGATTGAGTTCATCTTCCTCTGTAATTGGAATAGATATTTTAGAAGCTAATTCTTTGACTCTATTGAAAGAAAGGATCCGTACATGTTTTTCTGATGTATATTCAGCATGTAAAACTCTCTCTAGTTGAATAAATTTTACAGGATATTCCTTCTCTGCTGTTTTGCTGTTGGTTGCTAAGGCAAATATATCTTCTCTTATTTTCTGAAACTTATCATTACCATCATTTTTGTTGGAAATCTGATGACATGTTCTCAAATGTAGCCTTGTATCTTTGGAAAGTTTTTTCATGTGAGAGTCTATTTGCGTTGAACATTCGTCTTGATTCTATTAAAAGAAATAAACATACATAAAGGTTAAACATATTTCTGTCAGGATTTATTTGAAATAATGTAACACAACATTTTATTTTATATAAAACATATTTTTTCATATTTTTTTTCACAGTAGGATACTATAAACCAAAGTCTATCCATGATTGCCAATGAAACAACCATCCACCAAAGTTCAAATAAAGTGGATGTAAGCAATTATAGGCTTTCAACAATGAGAAAAACCCATACCGTATAGTCGCTATATAAAACCCCGACATGAAATATATGAACAATTCAATTGAGAAAACTTAAACGGCCTCATTAACACAAAGTTTATACATAAAACTGTCAGGAGCGAATTGTAATAATGTAACACAACATGTAATTTAAAATAGTATATATTTTTCTTTTTTTTTTCACAGTAATCGGACCTTTTTCTCATAGACACATTTCACATTTATCCCTTTCTTTGCTAATTTGCTGCGATTTGTGTTTGCAATTTTCTAATTTTGTTGGTGTATTCAAACGAAGAAAATCCAAGTTTGACATAACCCTAACCCAAATAAATTCAGTTCCTCCATGTAATCATGGTAATTGATCTCTCCTATACTTGCAAGGGCCTGAATTCAATTTCCTAACACACTAAAAAATCTGTAAGTATTTCTGGATTTTGATTGATGCCCTGTAGAAGAGGTGACCAATCAGCTCAATTTTATCAAGTTAGGTAAATCGAACATGATCTGTAACTTTAGTCATGATAAAACTATATACCAAATATCAAATCAATATCTATAAAGCATGACAAAAAAAGTGTGGAAAACTGATTACTTGCGTAACTTTTTTACGTCCAAGGACCATAACTCCGCACAAAATCATCAGACTGGAACAAAACTCGACCTTGATCTGTAACTAGTCATGATAAAACTATATACCAAATATCAATCAATTCATTCAAGCACGAAGAAAAAGAGTGTGGAAAACTGATTTGACAGACAGACAGACAGACAGACGGACGGACGGACGGACGGACAGAGCGCAAACCTAAAGTCCCCTTCGACTTCGTCGGTAGGGGACTAAAAAAATGAAAGAGATCATTGAGGACAATTAAATCTTGAAAGATTGATTTTGAAATACACCTGCCATGTTCTAAATATTCTCAATTTTCCAACTTAAAAGGAAATGTGAAGTAAATGATATCAAACAAAAAAGAGAACTCAGTACTTAGATATATATTATACCTGTAATTCATCTGTGTGTGTGCCAACAAAAATTACAGCTGGGTCAAGTACAGTATCTTGATTAATAGGACCAACTTCATTTTTGTCTGCTCTGCATCCATAACAGTGTATTGTGTCCATCCAAAATTTGAAAGTAGCTATTAAAAAATCATAGTTTTATCTGAATTTGGTTTAATATGCTTATGATGAATTTACATTAATCATGTAGAATATGTTTTGCTTATACCATGTTCCCAATGAAATTATCTAGGTGATTAAAATAAAAAATTCGCCGAACCACGTGTCTTGCCTGCGATTGCTGCTGTCAGTATAAAAGAGTGATGTTATCTGTAAAAAGCGAGTCCATTTATCAGTAAAATACAGAATTTAAACATGAGTGCACAAACTGAAATGTCTCGCCTGTTGTACTGACCATGACTGATTTAATATTAAAAGTCAATACCAATTATCTATAACAATAAGGCCAAGGTTAGATAAATCCTGACAGACATACAGACATATATGTACACCTTAAAATCATTCCATTATGATTATACACCAAATATAGTTGTCATTTTGCTAACAGTATCAAAGAAACAAACAAAACTGTGAAAATTTACAGTCTGGGATATATTTATCATGCTGGGAAATATTAAATAACAAGAATGCACACCCTGAAATGTCATGCCTGTTTTACTTATAAAGTCTGTAATATAAGGGTTTTACTACAAGTATCACCTAAACTTAACATTACCAATGAACTATGAAAATGAGGTCAAGGTCAGATGATACATGACAGACAGATATATACATCTAACTATTATTCTATGCACCAAATATAGTTGACCTATTCATATAAATATTGTTTAAAATATCTAAGAAACATTAAAAATTGACCAATGAACCATGAAAGTGAGGTCAAAGTCAGATGAATCCTGCCATACAGACATGTAAACCCTACAATCATTCCATACACCAAAATATAGACTAGTTGACCTATTACTTATAGTATATAAAGAGTTGACCTATTACTTCCCTACTGAAAATGAGTACGGGATTCCACTGGATTTCCAGTGAAATTACACTGGTATTCAGTGGAAAAAAATATTCCGATGGAATCCCATTAGAATTTCATCCAAAACATCTGGAATATTTTTCACACTGTAATTCCAATGGAAAATCAGTGAAATTTCCAATGAAACTTCCAAAGATTTTCCAATAAATTTCCAGTGGAATATTCTTGTTTATATTTCAGTGGAGTTTTGATTTAACGCAAATATTCCAGTGGAATTTTGGACTTAGAAATTTAAAGGAATATATATATACTTCTAATTCAAATTTTTCAAATAATTAAGTGCATGATTGTAATATAAAGGATTTAATTTGTAACATATAATTTGCTGGCCTGATAAGAAATTAAATATTATAATCATGATAATATATATCATGTATATGGGATGTAATGAATATTTCATAAACCTACATATATACATGTATATGAAACATTTGTTCAAAAAAGTTACATGGTTAAATGTAATATGAAATCACTTGCCTTATAATCATTTGGTCTGAAAGACCCCCCCCTCCCCCCCCCCCCCCCCCACCCCATTTAAAATAAGTAAAATGGTAGCTCCTCATGATCAGTAGGGTGGTGAATATAATGCATCACCATATAGCCTATGAGTATGACACATTGAAAGGATACATTTTAACTATTAAGAAATAAAATTAAATGTGCAATAATATAAATAAATAAATGAATATTTTCTATCAAATTGGGTTGAGAATAAGATTCTGTTTGATTTAACGAACAAAAACAATTAAGATTCTTTTTGAAAAATGTGCATGGCTCTTAAAAGGACCGTTTTTAAACAGATCTGTTGCAGAAATTATCTTCAGTCTGTACGAATTGTTAGGATAACTCTGTTTTTTTCTTCTTCAAGTGACCGTACTGGCAACTGCCCTGCACTGCAGTCTACATGTATACAATGGTATAATTATTTATCCTTTGACTTCATCATGTTCATTAACTGTTACTGGTCTACTGCTCTTTTGAGAAAAATAAAGTGAACGGCTTTCATTTTCCACACTGTTCTATAAACTGTTTCGGTATCTTAACTTTGTCGGTGTGATGAATTTTTCATCATTTAAGACATTTTCATGTCCTGAACTCGGCACTGGAACTCGGGTCATATAAGTTAATCTATAGAAACATTTCACATATAATCCGCTCCAATCAATTGTACGCTAAATGTCAGTGTTTTGGCATAATTTGAGCAGGAAATTTGTGAAACTGTAGTCTATAATGTTGTTTTTCAACACACATGTTTACATTCATGGAGGCTGCCATTTTTTTCTACCAGACTATAAATATAACCGCTGATTTGATTGGATAACTCAATTTCCGGGATTTCCTATCGGCCAATCAGATCGTCGTTATCATTTATACACGGAATGTGTTCAAATTTGAAACTAAAAATATTGTACGAGTATGTATCCTGTCCAGCTGTGGTTACATTTATCATGTTAATAATTATTAATACTCAACAACCTTCGATAAATAAAGAAATAGACATTAAAGGCAGAACATTTAGGCATGACACTACCTGTTGAACCAAGAATTTACGATGAGACGATGTGCTGATGTAGGGCAGACATACAGCAGATAATACGTTCTCATCTAAAATTAGAAATTCTCATATGCCATTTAACTCATTTTAGTGTGAAAAAGCTACATCTTTTGGCATGATTGATATATTTCGCGTTAAAAAGTCACTGTATAGCATTATTTATATTTGTCTGTAATTTTTTTGCAAGATTTTTTGTCTTTTTTTGTTTATGCGAATCCAAAACTTCATCATTTTATCATTAACCTTTTTCATAGGATGCTAGAATGAACTATTTCAACACCCAGGAAATAGTTGAAGCAAATAAACCTAAAAATATTACTCATTCTGCATTTTTGTTATACTTTTATGCCATTTTTGCTATATATACATAACATAGCATTTACCCATCTTTATTTCAGATGTTTCAATGAATAATATGCTAAATTCAGTCTTTTTCTCTTACTTGTATTTCTCAGGTCTGTATGCCTGCATACCGACCTGGTGTATGCTAAACTCTCACTCTATGTGTATACTAGAATTTGTCAGGTCGGTATGCCAGCATACCGACCTGGTGTATGCTAAACTCTCACTCTATGCGTATACTAGTATTTGTCAGGTCGGTATGCCTGCATACCGACCTGGTGTATGCTAAACTCTCACTCTATGCGTATACTAGAATTTGTCAGGTCTGTATGCCAGCATACTGACCTGGTGTATGCTAAACTCTCACTGTATGCGTATACTATAGTATTTGTCAGGTCTGTATGCTGCGACCTGGCGTATGCCAAACTCTCACTCTCTGCGTATACTAGTATTTGTCAGGTCTGTATGCCTGCATACAAATCTGTTGTATTTAGAACCTTTAATATATTTATTTTGGCATAGTTTAGGTCTGTATGCCTGCATACGAACCTGGTGTATGTAGATTTAAATTATTATTTATTTTGGCATTTTTCAGCCAGGTATGCCTGCATGGATTCTAAAACCTTATTCTGGATACATGTTTGTAGTGGCAAGTCTGTATGCCTGAATGCTAAGCATTTACTGTGTAGTAACATTTCTTATTTACTATATACATAAATAAGGAGATGTGTATGATTGTGAAAGAGACATATCTCCATCAAAGGCTGAATTACATGGATGTAAGGAATTACTTATGTATAGCCTTCAACTTCGTTTGAATTTGAAAGAAAGCTCTCAATTCTTAACTGCAACACTCAGGGGTTTATTCCTGTATATCAACCCGCTTTTCAATAAACTCTTGTGAAAAAAATGGAATTCATAGGTTTGCTTGTCGGCATACCGACCTATAGTCCTATACACATTTGAACATGAAAGTTTTCATATTTGTTTGACATTTTCAGTTCACGGTATTCTTGCATACAACACTGGTGTACGGTGAACACTTATTTTTTTTTACTTGGATATATACAAGAATTGATTGCCTGTATACCCACCTATGTTCTATTGGATCATAGTTTTACATACATTTAAGTATTGTCCAACCAAGCTGGTGTTCAATGAGCTAGTGTAATTGTGTAGGGTTTGCCTCCAGTCTAAAATTTCTGCATATTTGGTGGAACTTATTGGATATTTAGCAAGCTGAACGGTTTGCATTCTAACTAGCCGTATGTTGTATTCATATTTTAAATTGTAAAACTATTATTTTTCATCATGCTCTAAGTTAGTAACTTCAATTGATGGATAGAAAATGGAACTGTCTTAAAATCTGATATAGATGGCAATATGCATACTAAATAGATAGTGATACAGCAAAGTTTTTAAGTCATTGTGTTTGCATTTCTGCCTGTCAACATGGTGTATGACAAAGTTCTTGTTTGGTATTTTTTTAAATGCTTTTAGGGGGGATGTCTGTATACAATTTGCTGTAAAAAGATGTATGCCAAACATGCATGTATTTTAATTATCGTTAATTTAAACAATTTGCAATGATCTGTCTTGACTGCATATCATAAGTCGGTATCTAACTGGATTGGCTTAGATATGAAAATTAGTGAATTTATAGTACTATACTATCATGGTAAAAATTATGTATACTGGCATATACACTGGAGTTATGAAAATAAATCCTTCAATCAGGAAAGCCAAAGAATTGATGCTTTTTCTAGGTGTCGTCCTTTTCTAGTGAAGCTATTTTTACTTTATAAGCAGGAACAGCAAAAGGTCAGGTGCTGTTCATTGGTGTCGTAGTTTTCTAGGAAGGCATTGGTTTAACCTATCCAGTCACTAAGAAGTGTTACAAGTCAATTCATAAGCAACACATAAATAGTTACATGAAAGGTATAGCCACTGTTTGAAAAATGCTGAAACGAGAAATTGAAACTACATATTATATACGTATATATATATGTAAATATTATACACTTCATAACTTTAACACAGTTACTGATTTTAGAATTTATTGAACTAAGGGTTCTTAGTGGTTGAATTGAAGTCGTTCCCTTGAAAGTTTTTTTGTAACCATGCATATGATTGAAGATCAATGAAATATGTAATTTCCTTAATAACATTCATTTTTCCAATTTGAA